AGGCCATATTAATACTGCATCCAGTTTTCCAAGCAGGCATTCTCCCAATTGCCTCTTTTTTTGTCTGCCAACTTGACATATAGTAAAGCCAATCTATAACAAAAATATACTTCAGATGCCCCTGGAAATGGAGTGGAATATTGCCTACATTTTGAGGAAATTGAACGTTAAAGAAACTCAAAGAAAGCACTTTTGCCTTTGCCTGGTCCCTCCCTTCTCCTTATGCATGTGCATGTCCCTTCAGACAAATTATTTTCTGTGGCAGCTGTGGGGAGTGTGACATACACTCTGATCCCATCACCATGGGATACTGGGACAGAAACCTGCAGCTTCTGGACCATTTGTTAGGGTTTGATCCCTGCTGCCCTCTGTGCAGTGGGGAACCCCTTGGAGCACCAAAGAGCTCCATGGGCAGAGCTGTGCTGCATTTCACACAGGGAAGAGCTCCTGGCAGGACCAGAGGGGAAGAGTAGAGGGTGCTGAGCCTGGGATAGCATGGGGCAGGCCTGGATGAAGGAGGATGGCTGTCTGGGTTGGGAAAGTAGAGGATTTATGAGGAAGAGGAGGGACACTGCATCCCTAGAGTTGTCTCCTGGGCTTAGCAGAGATGGATAAATTCAGTGTGTTACTAGCAGGTTAGGAAGAGAACGTCTCAACCCAGTAAAAATGCAAATGTCATTAAAACCAGCAAAAAATTAGGAAGGATTGTCGACTTAATTGCTGACAAGATGCAACTTCAGGCTCAGCTGGACTCATTCCCAGTGTTCATCAATCTATGCATGAAGAAAGCAGAGCAAGTGAGCGCTGAAAGTTCCTTTGGGGTTTTTTTTGTTTTGCTTTTTGTTTTAAATTTTGAAACTCACATTTACTGTGTATATTTTAATATGTTCATGTGAAACACATCAAAGTAAACACATGCAGTGTGTTTCTTTCACTATCATTAATCACTTCAGTGTTTTAAAAAGTAACAAAAAATACACTAATGTTAAACTGTGGTCAAGAATTGAAATATACACAGCTCTAGAAATTGGAAAGATGCCTTTGCCAGGGCAAATGTAGCTTGACAACCATGTGTTTATGTATCAGCATATGAAGCAAGTCTGGTTAGCAAATACGGACTTTTTCCATTAAAAGCCCTCAACTTATATTGAAACGTTTTGAAGCACTTTTTCAAGCCACCTGGAGGCTCAGTTAAATACTGAAAGGAAGAAAATTACTTTAAATTCTCCGAAAAACTCTGAGAGAATTATTACCCTCCAACACTTTTATCACTGAACAGTTGGTTTTTGTGTCCTGCATATGTCTTTATCTGGGCAACTTCTGTTGGTGACACAACTGAATAACAAGGAGTGGATATGAAGGTTGAGAGTTGTTTGTTTGTTTTTTTGCCCATGAGGTGTTAGTGAACAGTCAAGTGTGAGAAGTCCACTTGTCCTTTTCAGATATTTTGGGGCTTTCAGCCGGGGTGGAGGACAGCTACTTTTGGTTGTTCCTACTTCCCTGTTTGCAAAAGAATTGTGCCAGCTCCCTCTTCCCAAACCTGCTGGATGTTACTGAAAAGGGAAGGACAATGTGGCACTTCTGTTCCTTTGAATAATCATGCAGTCTGCCTCTGCTGCTCCTCTGTGCTTTCCTCAGCAGCACCATAACAGAAACATCAGCCTGATCGCTGTCAGTCCATTCTCTAGGGTCTGGATTCTCATTATATATGTGAAATGTTTTAGTAATTTTCCTTGCTCTGATGAATGCCTGTATGAAAGGAATTGGGGCAGAACTGGCAGTATGCAGGCTAAGAAGGATGATGCTGTCATGGTGCTCTTTACTGAGATGTGGGAAGTTGTTTTCATAAATATAAGTTAGACTTTCCCTACAAAGATAACTTGGCTAGAATATAATTAACTGGACATACTTATAGACGTGGTTTTTTGTACTTGAGTCAGTGTCCTTGTGGTAGCTGTTTCCTTCTTTTTTTCAGTTTCACAGAAAAAATTATACTTTGTGGCTCTGCTTTTTACCTTCTGTTTGTTCAAAGATACAGGAAAGAGAATAACTGGAAGAGGCTTCAGCCAGAGGTGCTGCATTCTCTCAGCTTCTTTTTCTTGTGGGAGGGAATTAAATTCAGTCTTCATTTTTCAAGTTTACGCATAACAGATAAATAAGTGTGCATGTTTTTCACAGAAGTAACAACTAGAATAGGCTAATTCCTGCATAATCTGACTTCCTGAAAGCTTTAAAGGACAGTTTCTTCCCATGTGTATTTTGCATTTTGCATTTTTTTAATGTTCACATTGTGCTTGGCCTAACTAACCAAAGCATTCTCATTGTCTTTGTGACTAATCAGGGCAGCATATCAGTTCATCTTGCTTAACTGGGATGTCAAATTTAGGAGCTCTCTTGCCTGAAGGCTCTCTAGAGGGAAGTGGTTTTCAAAATCTAAATCATCCCCAGGTGCATATCTTTCCTGTGACAGATAGAGAGTGCCAGGAAGTCTGGAATTATAATTTAAGTGCCTTGATCAGGTAGGATGAATTTGGGCTGAGGCATATAATTTTTAGGCAGATGTGTGTGCGTGTTTTCAAAAAGTGTCAATCCAATTAATTCTGAATGTCTTGGAGAAGCAGATGTGAAATACTTCACAATTTACAAGTTCATAACTCTTTCCTCTCCCCCTGCAGAGGCTGCTATTGACCCCCCGAAGACACCTGACAGTGAGCCCTTGTTTACAAAACTGCGCAACCCAAGCACAGGCAAGTTCTGGAACTGTGACATGAGCCTGTTAAAATTCTGGTTGATTTTCTCCACCACCAGAAGATTCATATTTCGCAAAGCTGAAATAATGATGATAGGTACAAGTCTTAAGTGCCAAAGACACTGCTGGTTTTGCCAGATGGTTAATGCTGTGCAAACATTTAGGATTTCTTTTATAATTTTAATTGGTTGAACTGTTTATTCATCAGGAATATTGGCAGCACAAAAAAGGGGTGTAATTTAAGTTCTGTTTTTTAAGTGCATTAGTTTTGGGGAGCTTACAGTGTTGGGTGCTGAGTCCAAGCTTTTTTTTTTTAAATCCAAATTTATGCTTCTTAGCATTCATCTTACACTATAAAATAAATAGAGTTAGAAGAAGTGATTCAGTTGTACTTACCAAGCTTTTTGGGTCTTTTCATTTTTAAATCTAATTTTCTTTGCTTGGCCCAGGTCATGGTGTCTCTTTTCTCCTTAACAGAGGATGAGGCACTTTAAATTAAAAATACATTGGAAAAACCAGCAACTGCAGGCAGTACAATGGCACCACTGTCCCACAGTTACTTTCTTCTAGTCAGATTGTTCTTTTTGTCAAGGATTTGTAATTATTCTATGATTAATTAATAATTGGAGTGTATGATACTGCAACAGAAACTTGCAGTAAGCCTTTATTAGGGTTAACATTCTGTTTGAAAAAGAGTTTTCATGCTGGATTTTTTTCTTTGCATAAGCTTATTTCTTTTCCATAGATTAAAGTTTTATGGTTTTGGTCTGAAATTGACTGCTTGTATATATATATGTATTTACATATATATGTGTAACTGAGTCTTCAGATGCATTTTAGTGTCACAATATAGGAACTATATTTGTTCTTGGAAGAGGAAAATTGTCAAAAATAATAATACAGATTGTAAAATCATAGTACTCATCATATTACCTGTTTCTTGATAGCTCAGATTTGCAGTGGGAATATAAAGCCATGTCTATTTTCCACCTGTGTTATTATTTCCTGCTGTAGCATATTGGCCTTTTAGTTTGTCATGTTTTTAATAGCATAGATGTTAATTTGTTTTTCTCTGTGTAAAAAGAGATCTGTTTACCTTGTAGAATCAGATATCTTGGGAAAGTTTTCTGGGCAAAACCTAAACTGTGATGATTGCCTGGGTGTGTTCCTGTAGAATTTACAGGACCTTATTTATAGGCCTGCATAGACTTTCAGTTATGTAGCCTGTTATAAATACAGAGTCTGAAGATGGAAGAACTGAGAACAAACTATTAATGTATTTTCCTTAGCTTCTGGTCTAACAGATGAATTGTTGATGCCAGATACTGTATAAGTAGGCACTGAAGACTCAGCACACTCTAGAATTCATGCTAACCCTTTTATTAAATGAAAGCATGCTTCGTCCTTTATATAGACAGGTGAAAAGGACAAAATTTCTATCCCTTACAAAGACTATAAAGTAGGATCAGACTGCAATTCAGAAGTTGTGAGCAAAGCTGCCCAGGTTGTCTCTCCATCCCCTGGAGTTCCTGTCTAACGATACTGTAGGGAGCCTGTGGTGACTGTCCTTTTAGCATAATGACATAAATTAGGAAAATTTATGACATAAATTACTTAGGTAATAAGAAGGTTCCTTTTCCCAAGATTTTGTAGCTCACCACTGGATTTGGCTAGCACACTCACTGGTAGGAGTCTTAAGTTGTTCAGTCAGCACTTCTCTGAGTAGTTTGATATGGTGCTGATCAAACTGTGGTGTAGACCCTTGTTGAGGGTACACATGGTAATGATTGAAACCTCTGCTCCCCCCTATGACTACTCGTTGCTCCTCTCCTCCCCTACCCAAAAGAAAAATTATCAGAGTACTGAAATTATATCCTTAAGTGAGGTTAAACATCTGGTCAGCCTTTTGGATAAGGGGGAAAAAATGCTTTATCAGTAATTTTTGGGATTTTATATGTCTGCCCATTTTTGCTGACCTCCCTCCGCACCTGGGGGTGTCTGCAGACTGAGAAGAGCAGTGCTGATGTCAGCTTTCAGGGCTTACACTGAGGCTTCTCTGAGCCAGCCCATGAGCTGCAAGTCACTGCAGCTTTGCAATTTATGTGCTCTGAGCAGGACAGCCCTGCTGCAGTTGCTCTTGTTTCTTGAAGATGGATTGATAACCAACATGGAAGCAGCCAACTGACTCAGCTGACCACATTTCAGTGGCCCCTTCTGTAGTTGTGGCAACTTCCCATTTCAGGGAAATGGTAGAGCTGTGTTATGGGATGACTTAAAAATAAAGCTTTCCTTTTCCTTTCCCAACTATTGAGGTTCTGTTGGGCATTTCAAACCAATTTCTTCTAGCTTCATTGTTTACTTTATATGTCTACCCATACAGAGTCATCACAATTCATTTTGGTGCACAAAAAAAAAGAGTATTTCAAATTGTCCATGGAAGGTTTGAGACTTTTGTTCCCCTAACCCAGAGTCTGATATCCTCAAGACAAACATGATGGAAGGAGAGAGAATTCTCTTGTTTTCCACCTTCCCCCTTCACTGCAGAAAAAGGCTGATTTCTTGAGTGATTTTGATTTGGGTTTGGATCAAAGGCTTTGTGTTGTAAGATGAACTATTCACACATCTTATTTATTGATTCAAATTCAGTTTCGTTTATAGAGCTGGTAAATGAACATCTGTATATAATAGTGTTTTTTGTCTGAGCTCTCTTTGTAGTGAGTTTATGTAGACTGTGTGTATGTTTGTGTGTCTGTATGTATATAAGGCACATTCTTCAAACATATTGGGTATTCTTTTGATTTTTCTGAAAGCTTACAAACACAAACCAGATTTCTTTTCAACAGGGGAAGCAACCCTTTACTTATTCAATAGTGGTGCACAGCAGCTGTTTGAAGTAAAAGCTTTTCACGAGGAACGTCGTTCCTGGTTTATAGGTCAGACTGTTCAGCAGGGTGAGTTGGATAATGTGTCTTTCCCCCATGTTTAACTAATGTTTGTACACAGACCTTCCCTCTCTCTTCTAGTAAATTTACAGGTGTTTTTCCTAGTTGTTTGAGACATGCTGCATCATATCCCCACCTTCTGATAGACTCATTTGCCATGTGGATTTAACCAGGGCTGAGGGCTTTGTCATTTCTCTTTAAAAGGTTGCCTTTGGCAGCCCCAATTAGACAGATGTTCATTTGTCATTTTTTGAAGGGGGAAGGAAGGGTAAGTAATTCAATTGTGTTTAAACTGAAGTGCCATAAAATAGTTAGCTTTCCCTGTCAATCACACCAGCAAATCCTCTGTGTAAGTTAATATGTATTATCCTATGGGAAGGAAAAGAAAGGTCTTAGCTAGCCGAGCAAAGTGGTGTGTTAGAGCTCCAGGCACTGGAATGTATGGTCTTGCGTTCTTTAAATTACCTCTGTAGTCCCAGCCTGAGTGCTGGGTTCCCAGGAGAGGCCTGCTGTCTGAAGCTGCCTCTCTGAAGGGAGCTGGTCTGTACTGTCCTGGACATTCTCTGATCCTGCTCACCTTTCTGAAAATGAGGAGGAAACTTGTCTAACTTGATTGTGATGGCTTTCACAATCCCTTTTCAGTAAGGATGTTACTGTAGCAGTATTTCTCTGCCAGCATGTCCACAGACCAGCATGTCCTTAACTATTAATTCAGGAGATTAAGGTATATTTATTTTATTCCTTTTCATTAGAGAAAAGTCCTTTTATAGTAATAAATAAAAGCAACCCTTCCAGACATATGCCTTCTTTAACAGTAATATCCCAAAGTGTGTGCTAACTTTTAAACATCCTCTGCAGGCACATAAAGCAATGCAAGCAGTATGTCTCTGAGCTTTCCCTTGCTCTGTCTTGGGGGTGAGCCAACAGATTGGGTCTGCTCCCTACTCCCAATTATGTCCATGTTGTATTCTCTTTTTCCCTTCTAACCTTTATTTTGGCCCTTGGGAAGCAGTTGCCTTAAGAAATCAAGCCCTGAGTTTTCTTTAAAAAATACAGTGGAAAAATTGTTCCCGAATGTTAGGGCTGCTGCTGTATCTCTGAAACGGTCAGGAGAAGAACAACACAAAAAAATCTGTGTGTTTGCAGTTAAAACAAATTATCTGATCATCTGCAGAGAAGGGCAGAGGTCTTTATACACCTCTGGTGAGTCTGAATCTTTAGAACAAACAGAAATAACTCTTCCTGGAGATTTGGTGGAAAGCATTTAAATGGAAGCTTTGAGAAAGTGGCTGGTGGAGTTTTTTCCTTCCGATTGCAATATTGAAGCTTTTGTGTTTGTAAGTAATCCTGATGCTTGCTTTGCCTCACACAGAACATCATGTTAGTAATATGCATGGTAGGTTGGGTATCAGCTTTGCCCAAACCAGTCTTCCCACATGATCTTTTGTTAGTTTTAGGGCCATCATAATATGATTTCCTTTTCTTTAAATATTGTAATCATGTGATTTAAAACAAAAAAATTGCTTATTATTATTTGCTTTTGGTTTGCTAATTACTGTCAAATTGTCATCAATTATTTGGTCTCATTAGTGAATTTCCTTGATGTTACATTGTTTCCAATTATCTCCAGTTATACAAAAAGCCTGACTAAGCTATTGTCCTGCAATGAACTCCAGATGGGCAGAGGTGTCTGTTTCAATGGGAGACCAAGTTCTTCCTTTGTGTGTAACCTTAAATGCAACACACTGAGCCATGTTTTCTGATCTAAGTTTATTTTGTTCCGTTAATGGACCGCATCAGATTCTCCCTTTACAGAAGAAGGCAGCTCTCACTTAACTAACCCTTGAAATTTTTTCTTGTCCTGCCTGTCTTCTGCCAGTGCAGTGTTGCCTTGCCCAGTGTTAGAGGTGGAGTATTGCTGAATATCTCTGGTATCCCAAACCAATTTCTGTTGCCCCAAAATCTGCCAACAGAGGGCAGCTTCAATTTTGCTGGTTTTAATGCAGTCCAGAAAAAAGGCAAAACTCAAAGTATATGAAGCAGAAGTCCTGAAGTTGAGCTTTTGCTTTGGTTTAGCAGTTTAGAGAATTGAGTTACTCTGTATTTTTAATATACGATTACAAATACAATTATTCTGTTTGTTTTATTAAAATATTGGAATGCTTACTCAAGAAAAATGTTGCTCACACTCCTAAAAAACATCCTAAACCCCAGAAATATATTTTGTAAGCTTACTTTTCAATGTCTTTCACCTAGATGGGCGCCTGCTGTTTGTTACTCCAATGGACCCCTTATTTCTGATACTTTACTACCTCATAAAGGCAGACAAAGAGGTAAGCCTGCTTTTTTAAAATTTTTTTTCTCGGGAATTCTCAGGAGAAAATATGATTTCTGACTTCAGTTCTGCACAAGTTATGTTAATTTTACAGAGAATCTCTTCCATAATAATGAAAATTTAATTTGCATTTCAAGCAGAATTATCTTACATAGAAGTATTTTTGTTTGCATCAAGTTTTTTGTCAGTGAATTATGGTGCAAAAGTCAGCTTTCAATCTCAACAAGCACTAATCACCTTCTTTTTTAAGAAAAGAGAATCTCTTTTGTCTTTTTGTGAGAGCCTGTCCCAGAACTATTGAATTTAAAATGCTGACATGTCATCAGATTCAAGCAAACTAGTGCCCTCTCTGAGGCATCAGTAAAATGGTTATTTTGGCAAAGAAGGGAAAAAGAAAGAAAAATTTGGATGGAGGTGGAAGGAGGAACATTTCTGTGGCAGTTTGAACTTGAAAGGAAACAACAACATTTTTAGAGATGCCATGTCATAGAACAGCAGTGGGATGATCGAGTATCCAAAAGCTGGGTAATTAAAAAATGGCTTCCTTAGTTTATCAGGGGTGTAGCAAATCCTCAGTTAAATTTCTGAAATACATTAAAATTCATAGGGAAATTTACTGAATTTTTTTATAAATAGCCTGAAAAAGTGCCAGAAAAAAGGGGCACAAAATAAAATGGAAATGTTGATTTTTGTTGTTGTTGTTGTTTTACTTGTTTGTTTTGTTTTGTGGAGACAATGATTTCACTTTATGCATCCTAAGACTTTTTGTTCTGAAAGAATTTTTACGAGGTTGCTTACTATTTTCTGCTTTAGATTGCAAGTGGAGAATGCAGGAGAACAATTTTTTTATTGTGAAGATATAAAGTCTTCCTATACCTTTGTAATAGTAACTTACTGTTCTGTAATGGTTTTTTAATTATGTAAGGTATAGGGTGTGCAGATGTATTCTGTATTTCTGTGGTCAGGATGGTCCATCAGAAGACGTCATTGCACAAGTAGTTCAGCTTGTTCCCTGGGCACTGCACTCTGAATTCATCATCCCTGGGAAAGCTTTATACCAAACTTAAAGTAGGGAAGTAGTAAATCTGCTCTCTCTATGTGGAGAGGTGTTGAGGTAGCCTGAGTAAAGGACAGCTACTGCTGCTGTTGCTGGGCATGGCAAGAGTCCTGTGCTGCCCTTCACTTTTTTGGTACATGGTTTTCTAGGTTTTCTGGTTTTCTAGGCCAGGCATGATGCCAGATAAATGCGTAGAACTGTTTTGGGTCCTAAAAAAGGGCAAATGCATTCCTGCAGCACCTTGCCTAAGTTAGTGTATTCTACAGTCTCATGGCAAGGTTATCCTGAATGCAGCACAATCACTTCCATCTTGAACTAATGGATATCACTGGATATTGTAGAATCATCCTTTGCACTGTCCTTTGATTTTGATAGTGTGAGGGAGGATTGCTTGGTGTGTCTCTGAGCAGAGGCATCTTCTATACAGCACCTTTCTTGGCTTAGGCTCTGTGCCCATGCATGATATAAATGCAGCTGTCTTGCTTTGGGACACAAGCAGGTAAGTTACCTATAAGAGCTTATAGCAGTTTTATTTTTGTGTCTCCTAACTTCTTTTTGCCATGGTTATTTTGCCTTTTCCCTTTTAAGGACAAAAAGCCCTCCAAATGCTTTCTTGGTTCTGCTTTTTGTGTTTTTGTTTGGGATTTTTTTTCTTGCTTTTATTGTGATTTAACAATAGATGGTTACTTTTATTAAGCCTCCAAGTGTCTAGCAAGAAAATTAATTAATAATGAAAGCAGTGTACCCCAAGTGAGTTTTTTCATGCTGACCAGTATAATGAGTTCAGCCTTGGCTCCCGAGACCATGCACTCTCTAAGCATGAGAAACCCACAGAGTTTTTGTACTGGTGCACTAAAGGATCTTTCCAAGGGGAAGGTTGCCAGTTGTGCCAAACCATGCTGAATGATTATGCATTGTTTGGCAATGGCAAAATTTGTTTGATAGTTCTGTCATGTGTGGGGCTACTTAAGTTGTGCCAAAATCACTTTATATCCCTACTCTGGCCAAACTGGAATTGACTTTGCAGAGGTGAAAGGTTAATACTGTGTTCCAGAAGCTGCCCTGCTCCTTTGAGATTTATCTTTGTGGAAGGAAAAGCAAAATTTGAATGGGAGTTATGACACTGGGCTTAATCCAACAGGTTTTGGTCTAAAACACTATTGGCACACACTGACTACTGTGTCTTATGTCATCTTCCAAAAAATCCCACTGTACTTCACATTAGTTTCTCCCCATGTTGTTTTAAATTTGGCCTTTTAAGTGCAGTGTTTGAAGAGTTCAGCATTTTGCAGGTATTTACTGGTCTGAAATAAATATTTATAGCTTTCTTTGTAATCAGTTTCTGAATGTGTCATGTGTTACCGTTCAAAATACGATCTTCTTTAAATCCTTTATTTTAAAACTATGGCCATTGCATGCATATATATTTATATACATATGTGTAGTGTGTATATATGTGTCTTAACATTTTAGTAATGCTTTTGTAATCCCTTTGATGTATTTTCAGCAGCAAGGAAAGTTCCAGCCAATTGATCAAGTTGTGCTAGACTCAGAATACCCTGACTGCCCATTGCTGCTGAAGTGTGCAGATGTTAAACAGTACATACAGCACGTAACAGAAGAAAAAGGTGAAAAAAAGGGGTGGGGAGGAGGGAGGGCAAAAAAAAATAGACTCAATTTGTTAGTGTCACCTCATTACAAGATAGATTTAAATACTGTTTTTTGCTTTACCAAATAACTGAAGTGCTGGGCTGGACACAGCTGTACTTTAAAAACAGAAGCTTAGGCTTAGAGCTTGTCATTGCAGTCTTGTGAATAGAAAGGTGTGGATCTCAGATTTTCTGCTGCAGCTCTGAAAAACCCATGCAGTCTTGTTGCTAGGTGTCACGCAAGTGATAAACCAATCAGAGCTGGCTTCTTGACATTATTGTATATGTTGTGAACTCTCTTTGACTTGGATCAGAATTTTACATCTCTCTAAATTCTTTATTTAGTGTAGAATGGTCTGGCTTGGAAGTGGTCCATTTTACTTTTTTTCATCCTTTATCACAAAGCATTAAGTAGAAAAAAGCTGGAGAAGAATAAATATGTGCTAAGAAAGGAGAACACAAGTTTTCTGGCTCTGCATAATGTAGTGCTGTGGGTTTAAGCTTAAAGAATTAATTCTTTTAAAATACAAAAATTGAGATGCATAAGTATATGAGAGAGAAAACTCAAATGGAAAAGTTAGGAAGCTATCAATTCTGTACATAGTTTCCCCAGCCTTTGCTCTGAATTCCCTTTGGTGTCATGGCTTTCATTTTATTCGAGGACAATATATGCTTTCTAGGAAAGGAAGAAAGACATGACATTATTTTTGCAGGTTTGCAGATATGCAAAATGTGCAAGACCTCAGTTTTTCTTTTCAGTCCCTTGAATAGCATTCTATTTAGACTTGCTAACTCCTGATAGGGAATGGAGATTTCCCTACATGCACATGGAGATCTACAGGAGAACATACAGGAATCTTTTGCACCACCAAGTGCAAAACTAGTAAGCTTTCTGTTTCTTATGCACTAGAGCTCCTCCATGGAGTTGAGGTTAAAGTTAAAAGACAGATTGAAAGCTACAAACGTTAAGAATTTGCTTTCGTGAAGCAAGCTGATCCTTATCATTGATATATTTATATATATAAGAAGAAATATTTTGATGATCTACAGATAATTGGGAAGTGGCTAAGGAAAGGTGATGAAAAAATAAAATCTGCTAAGTAAAAGGCCAGACCTCGTCCTAGCTGTATAGAAGGTTAAGGTGTTTGTCGGGGGTGGAAGCTGTAAGTTAATTTAGGTGCACAAGTTTAAGTATTTTTGGGCTTGATGTGGTGCATGTGCAGTAAAGTAGGGAAGTTGCATTTGAACTTCAGGGCAGGACACGTTTCCATTGGCAATGCTCACTTTCACAGGGCAGCAGAAAATCTAGGTAAGCAAGGCTGTTGTCACATTCTGTTTGTGACTAGGGTAGTTGGAATTATGTGCTCCCATAAACACATAATTGTGGAGTAATATTGCTATTCATTCTGCATTTCCAAAAGAACCTACAGAAACATTTAGTTACATTTTGTATCATTTGGAAACAATCTTTTTCTTTGTGTGAGTTCTGACTTTTTAAGAAGGCTTCTTTAGGCCATGTGCATCTGAAATGCAAAACCACTTTTGCCTTCTCATGAAGTGACATGTATTTCCATTAAAAAGTATTTAAGCTTTCAGGCAATTGCTGTGCCCTACAACTCGTCTTAGCATGGGATAAGTAGCCAGGGTGAGAGAAGAGCTATTAAACTTCTGTGTACAGCATGACACTATCGTCAAGGTTGGAAGAAACCTTCAAGATGGTCTAGTCCAAGTGTCAACCTAGCACTACTGTAATCACTAAACCATATTTCCAAGTGTCACATCCAGGCTTCTCTTGAACACTGTTCCAGAGACTATGATTCCACCACTGACCTGGGCACTTTATTCCAAGGCCTGACCACCCTTTCAGTGATAAAACAATTTAATATCTAATGTGAAGATCTCTTGCAACTTAAGTCCGTTTCCGTTTGTCCTTTCACTTGAGACATGGCAGAAGAGACCAACCCCCACTTCAATGAGTTCATTTCTGTTTCTGTTTAGTATGGAAGGCAATAAGGTCCCCCCTGACCCTCATTGAGAGTAAACAGCCCCAGCACCTTCAGCTGCTCCTCATCAGACTTGTCCAGATCGTTCACCAGCTCCGTTGTCCTTCCCTGGACACACTCCAGCACCTCAGTCTCCTTCTTGTAGCGAGGGGTCCAGAACTGGACACAGGATTTGAGGTCTGGCCTCATCAGTGCTGGCAGGGACAGACTGTCCTGGTCCTTCTGGCCACACTGTTGCTGGTACAGGCCAGGATGCCATTGGCCTTCTTGGCCACTTGGACACACTCTGTTTCATGTTCAGTGGCTGTTGACCAGCACCCCCAGATCCCTTTCTGCTGAGCAGCTTTTCAGTCACTCTGCCCCCAGCCTGTAGTGCTGCAGAAGTTTGTTGTTTGTTGACCCAAGTGTAGGACCTGGCATTTGTCCATGTTGAACTCCATGCCTTTGGGTCTCGGTTTATCAGTCCAGATCCCTCTGCAGAGCCTTTCTACCCTGCAGGAGATCAACACTCCTGCCCAACTTCCTGCCATCTGTAAACTGACTGAGGGTGCACTCAATCCCCCCATACTGATCATTGATAAAGATATTAGATAAAGAATTGGCCCTGGGGTCACTAGTGGCTGGCTACCAACTGGATGTAACACGATTCTCTGGGCCTGGCCATCCAGACTGGTTTTTACTCAGTGTAGAGTGTACCTGTCCAAGCCATGACCTGCCAGCTTCTATAGGGCAGTACTGTGGGAGACAGTGTCAAGTGCTTTCCAGAAGCCTAGATAGACAACATCCATAGCCTTTCCCTCATCCACTAAGTGGATCACATTGTCATAATGGAGGTCAGGGTGGTCACCCATCTGAGAAGGTGATGATTATTTTTGTGAAAGAGCACTTCCTCCAAACAACAGTACAGCCTTTCAGCAGTATTTATGTTCCCAAGACAAAACTTAAAAAAAAAAATATTTACTCTAGACAAGATCTTGTGTCTTGGTCTAATTTCTGTATGCATTCTGATACTGAATTTGCAGTTGTTATCTGTCAGAGCATCCTCCTATAAACTGTATTCTGCTAGACATGATGGAGATGCTTTGCTGCTTGTTTTTTTTTCCATTTTAAGTAATGTATTATGTACACCTATAAGTTTGTGTCATTTTGCCAACAAATTATATTAGCTGTTAAAGATGTGTTCACTTCCTCAGTTTTATTTTGAAATGCTTTAGTCATAAAAGCTGTACACACAGGCACACATCAGCTTTATGTGATGTTCTTGGATTTTTCCAGGCATGTACCTGCATGTACATGCTACTTCTTTTCTTCTTCAGGTTTGGGTTAGGTTACAATGGGGCTTTTTCTTAGGATTTCTTTTTTTATAACACCAAGAGTACTGTTATGCAACAAACCCATTGGCACTTGCTTGCCTGTCATGCACACATCACCTTTCTGTTTAATCCACTTCTATGTGTTTCATATTCTCATGTCTTTTATTGCTTGTAAAAAATACCAGCATTATGACTTCAGGTACTCACTCTTTTCTGGCTCTTAAGACCTGTTGTCTACTCTGTAGCCTTTCTCATTTAAGGAGTAGAGCATTAGGGCAAGAAATACCAGTTGTGTTAAGGCTTCTGCAGCTCTGTTCTGCTTGACAGAACTTAACAACATAATTATTTCACTCTTCATTTAGTCTTAAGACATTTAACATCTGTCTAACAAATTCTTGCCCCAGAGCACTCACAGTTTACACTTACTGAATTAGCAGAAAATCCACCTTCCCTGGCCTCATTCTTGAAGCGCACTGAAAATTCATTTAGCTGAATTAAATTCTGAATTTCTTGCTTTAGTAGTTGTGGAAAGGGTGTGTTACAGCTCACTAAGTCTGGGTGAGGCAGGTTGTTTGCTAATAAATTCTGACATTGGATTGAATGTACAGTAGAGAAGGTTTAAGAAAGGTTATGAATTCCAGTTCTAGAGTATTACTCTTTGTTTCATTTTGCAAGGCAAAAGCTGCACTGTGATCTTGTCTGATGTGATTAACATGAAGAGCCAAGAAAACTTACCTGATTAGAACAACTAAATAATATTGCCAAGCTTGTATTCCCAGAAGGTAGGAAAAAAGGGGCCATATAAGTTTCAGAGTTATGGAAAACACTGAGAAAATGGATTTTAAAATGTGCTTTAGGCAGTTTGCTCAACAATACATCAGGGAAACTTCCAAGTCTACATAGCGATTACCCGATCACTGAACATATTACTTAATTGTAGAACCACTTATATTCCATCTGTATTTCTTAAACCCAATCTTTCCAGATGTCTCAGACCAGTTTTATAGGCACCAGACACATTAGGGAACAAAAGGCTTTCCAATATATACTCATATTATCAAACGTAGTCACTAACTCTCACCAATATCAAATGTGCATCACATGTTAAATCCACGTTCCAATATTGAATCCTTTTGTCAGCAGTTTGTGACTTTCATAACTCACTTTAATTCTTCAGAGGTCTCAAATATTGTCAGTTTCTAGAGTTTAATAGTCAAAACTGTCAAGCGCACAAAATATTTTCAAACAAAGTGATCTCTGAAGGGTTCAGTGTAATTATTTTTCACATGTTTTAATGAAAATGGCTTCACAGTTCTACATTTCCTTTCCCTGAGTCACTCTGAATCATGCTGTTGTGGGGGAGTCTGCCTGGGAATCCAGACTAGAATTACTTTTCAGCATGGGTTGGGGGATGGTGCCCAGAGGATGTCCCTTCCTCGAACTTTCTTAGATAAGAGAGGAATCCATGAATTGTACTCATTGTACTTAAACCCAAACCACGTTAGCCCTTTGTGAAGCAGGTTCAAGTATCCAGAGTGTTTCTCTAATTTTTGCTTCTTTCAGAGCCATTTAGAAGCATCCAAGTCCTAAAGCCTGCAGCCAACAATGTCACAGCTAATTGTTTTACCTGTAGCTCATAATAAAGCGAAGTGTATATTAGTGCATTTTTCATTTTTGCTCTGAAGAATTTTTGTATTTTGCTATTGTTCAACTATGAAGACAGATTTAAGCTTCTATCTTGCAAACAACTTTCCTCGACCTCTCCATACCCCCTGCCATGCATATAGAAAGAGCACATAACAGAGTAGTTCACTGTTTGTGTGCAATTTGGAAGAGCCAAGATAAGCCCCAAAGAAGGAAATGCTGAAGGAATCATAAATAATATGTTGTTGTTTGCCAGGGGAGAAGGAAAATCCATGAAATGAGTGTTGGAATATGACACTGTATCAGTAAATGACATGAAACAGATGTAGGTATTTCTGGGAATGGTATACAGGAGATTAAAACTTATTGGAATACCTGTTAAAGAAAAAGACTGAAGCAGCAGGCTCCAAAATCTCCTGTGAAATCTTATTGGGCATCTGATTCAGTTTCCCAAATGTAGCTTTCTGTGAGTTAATACTGAATTTTTATACTGAAATTTCCTTGAGCCTTTATAATTTTCTCTTTTGCCTGGGTGTTTTGAACTCATGTATCTCCAGATAACTGATCACATGTGAATAGCAAGTATTCATGATGCCCTCATTATCACAGGGGAAGCACTCTCTGAAATTCCTATATCATCAAGTTAATTTGTGTTGCTCCATAAATCATAAGTGAATCATGTACTTCCTCCCACAAGGAGTGAGTTTCGCTATTTTGGATTCTGTGTTTTCTTTTAGCATTATATTGAATTATGTAAAAGAGGGATAGAAGTAAAAATTCTGCTTTAGTCACTCTGATATGAGAGAGGAGAACTGATAGGGAAAGGGTTTATTGAAGAGGTGGATTGTTTAGCTTCAGTAACCAACTCTCTGTCCTGGCTCCTTACTGTAATTCAGTACATAAAGACTTAAGATAATCTGTTGTTTAAAAAAAAAAATTAAAAATCACAGAACCAACATTTTGTGTTGTGAACTATGTAGTTAAAATCACCAGTCTGGTGTCACAGGGCAGTGAAGGTGAAGTGAAACTATAAGGGCTTGAGAAAGTCTTTGTGAAATATAAAAACCCCAAGATTACACATAAATAAATAAAATCTGTGCTTTGCTGGATTAGGTCCTAATTAAGGAACGGTCAAATTGTTCAGACTTATTCATATCAGCTCAGTCTGGTTTTTTTGCTTCCAATATTTTTGAAACTTATTGCCCTGATATCAAACATGTGCAAGATGCAAATTAACTTTTATATTGTATCTACAAGTTAAAAGATTTTAAAGGTATTGAAAATGCAATCCAAACCAGACATGACTTTTTCCCCTTGCTTGTTTTTTCTCAGAGATTGGGAGTCAGAAATTCCACAAATACAGCCAAGAGAAGACACTGAAGTGGTTAAAGAAAAAGGTATTGTGTTTCTCTTTTGCTTTAAAAATTGCTTTACGTTTAGGATGGAAATGCTTATTAGCTTGTCCATATTTGCATTGGAGCCATGTGCTATGCCTCAGTTTAAGGTATGAGTCTTGTCCAAGAAGGACAGACAGCACAGTAAAGTTGCTCTACTTGGGAATGTGATCAGGTGTCAAAGATATTAACAAGCTTGTTGCATTTCTCTTTTTGATGGGACTGGCCATGAAAGAGGCTTATGGGGTGTGGGTAGGAAGAAGAAGCTGTCAGCTTATTGCTGTAGGCTTTGCATAAGGTGAGGGGTTTGCTTTTGCTTTGTCCCTTTCATAGACGGGCTAGAGGAGAGTTTTGATTGTTACACCTTCTAAATTCTGCCTGACTTTGAAGTTGGACAGAATTGCCTCTGTTTGGCTACAAATGTGTTTCCTGAAGTTTTGTCAGAGTTCACTCAGAATGGTCCTGGTTTGGTTGCTATTATCCGGATCTAATCATGCTGTTCAAGATGTCTGTACAGCGTGCCAGAAATAAACTAGTGTTAAAGCGAAGCTTGATGGGGTCTTTGCTTTGGTATAACAAAGGTGAATTTCATTTTACTCATGCAGATGTGCCCTTAATAGGATGCCACTCTATAGAAAAAGACGGTATGCATCACATGATGAGGAGACCTTGTCATTTAAATTAATCAATACAAGTACAAAATCTGGTTCACTTTCTGCAGTGATGAGGCATGGGAATGAATACCTGTTTTGCGATGATTATCTGAATATTTATGTGTGAGCAGGTACCTGTTTGTGTTGTTGGAAATACCTCTGTGTTGGATCCAGCACAGCAGTGCTCTGTAAAGTCCTTAATCTTTGATTTCCACCAGGACTGCCTTTGCCATCCTGCTGAGCTCAGGGGTGTTTCTCTGAGCCAGGTGTATTTCTCACCTGTGTAATCACAGCAGTTGGGTCTGAGTAGTTCAGCTCATCTTAGGGTGCTGCAAGAGTAGTGCTGTGTTGCCAAGGCAACATGTTCAAAGACATGCTAGTTTCTTTGCGTTTTTTGAGCTCATCTGCTAGTCATTACAAATGTATATTAAATTTCACCACAGTCCATAACTTGAGTGTTTTATATGCTTGAAACAAAATTACAAGAGCTTTGTCACTGCATTAACATGTGCATAACAATACTGATACAGGCATTTCATTCTTTGGTTTTCTGTAGGTTAATCAAACAGTGAAAGCACTTAAAAGCAACAATATATTGGTAGGTGAAAGGGTGCTTGCAAGTACATTTATCAACAGTAAACAGATCACAGATGCTCAGGAAGGTAAGAAAACCAAATGTGGTAATGAATTCCATTTTTGTAAAGTCACATAAGTAGAGATAAAACACATGATTAGAAACTAAAATATGTTGAAATTGGCCTTTGCAGTAAATTTATCCTCTGTACTGAAAATTCCGTGTAAGTTGTGACTGTGTGCCTTGGCTTTTCCAAGTTCTTAGAAATCTTCATCAGATGACATTGTAATTAACAGTAGGTCTCAGTTAGGGTTCTCTATAGTTCAAGAAGGAAACATTTTTCTCCGTGAAATACATGCTGAAGTGCTTTGCTGAACTGAGACTGTGTTAAAGAATAGGATACATCTTTATAATATATATGAGTTCCCACACAGTGTGTCTGTATTGGAACATGCTTCTTTTCATTATTATTTTTATTAGGATGCATAGAATATTAGCATATTAGCATTTATAGAATTCTTCAAAATGGTAAAGGTATCTTAGGAAGTCATGGTCACAGAGAAAAGGCTCCTCATCCAAACATTACCTTATGCAACAAACTTATGAGTTAGATGATTTTTGTGGGTGCACTGGTGTTTTACCAGTCTCAAACACTACAAACCACACAAATGTGTAATTATTAAGGGCAAAATTTTAATATTACTCGTATTAAATTGTAACAATCCTGTTACCAAAAAGTCTGGTGAGATCCTGTTTGCTTCTATTCACCATTTTGCTGGGGAGGGCAATGTCCTGAATATTACTGATACAAAATTCTGTAGAGAAACCTGAAAATGGATTCGGAAAAAAATCTTTAAATGTTAATGAAAATTAAGAACAGTTTAGAGCAAGATGAACCAAAGCAAATTGTTTCTTATTACAAAGACATTCAGAAGTCTTCATGCTATTGAAAATTAAAGAGAAACAAAGCAGCTTGCTGACAAAGTGGAAAATGAGCTAAGTGATGAGCCAAGTTATGATATCAAAGGAAACAACATAAATGAGATTTAAGAAGCAAATAGACAATTTTATAGAACAGAGATTGTAATATATGTTTTTTAAAAAGAGACAAAGTTACAAAAGTTGTGACTAACTTCACAGGAGCTTTTAATCTTTTTCCCGACCCCTGCGTTTTTTAAAGAAAGGGGAAAGTGTCCTGGCAACAACCATCTTGACTATGCTTGAATATTTTTCTCTGAAATTTATAATTAAATATTTCATCTGTAGTCGGTTTTTTTCCACCTTGCTCTTAATTGACATGAAATAGTCTTTTTAAAAACCTTGAGTTTTTATATTTGAGAGAGCAGCTTTGAAATTGGGAATACTGGGGTTTAAAGCAGATGAATTTTGGAGGTAGTCCCACTGTACGTGGCAAGGTGAATGACAGGAAGTCAAATGGACATTACTCAACGCTTATTTTTAATAAGACTTATTTTCTTGTCTGATCCTTTCAGTGCTGTGACAGTGCAGTTTATTTCTGTAGAGAATTGCTTTCATAGGGGTATTATGAAATTTCAGTACCTTAAAAATTGGTGAGTATATGTAGTTAGCATCTACAGATGTTGTAGGGCAAAAACAGGGGAGGATATAATGAGAGCAAATAGGGAAGTAGGGGAGGTTTATCGTATGGAACTTGAACATTTCATTCAGAAGACAAAGAAGGGAGGTGTGCAAGTATTCCTGATGTTTGACAGAAGGTTAATAACAAAGCTCGGCTGGCTTAAGAACACAGACTCCATAGGAAGCTAATAGTGGTATTTTTAAATTGATAAAGGAAGTCAGTGAAGATTGCTTCGAGTCAGAAAGGCAGAGGGAATGGATTTTGTATTTAGTATGAAATAATAGCAGTTGACTTGGACTGCTTCGTTCAGTGTCGTAACGCAAAAAGTGAAATTATAGGATTATTTTTCTTAAGCAATAAATTGGACATATTAAGTGCTGAGATGAAATTGTCTTGGGTTGCAATTATTTCTTGTTCTCTCCTGACTTTAAAAAGAGAGTCTCCTGACGCTTAGAGAGTGAAAAATCTTTGATCAATCTAGGCAATGAAGGAAGGAGAAGTGCAGATAAGTGATAGTAAGAATTTATTATCAGTATGGTTGAAATGCATATGCTGCTGTCAGTTTGTAAATGCTTTCTCCTTCAATGCCAGTTTGCATTGGGCTTTTCAGGTTAAAAAAAAAAGAAAATGGGGAAAAGATAGATACGTTTATCACCTGGCACTATAGTAACAGTTCTTTGCCACCTTGAGGTTGGTATGCTATGTGCTTCTGAGCTCTATCTGTGTAGGCATATGAGCAGATAAGCTGGTCAGTTGGAGTTGGAATTCAGAGGTGAGATTTTAACTTAATATCTGCCTGGCAAATGCTTCCTGTGCATGGGTCCAGTTACTCCCTAGCAGCCTCAACAACATCAAGTTTAAAAAGTCTAGCCCACGATCAGTAAGTGCTTGTGTAGAACGTGACTGGAAAAGATCTGGTTTAGGACTTCATGTTATAAAAAGGTCACTTTTTTTCCCCAAGTCTCTCAGAAAAACATTTATAGCAGGAGTGCCCTGTACTGAAAACAGCTTCTAGTAGTTCATATTTCCACAGATAATTATCCTGTCTTGCCAGTGATGTTTAGATAGGCCTTGGCATTTTCTATAAAGTACTGAAAATTAAGTACAAGACTTTGAAATAGACTCATTGTCTCATCTAATTGTTTTCAGTTGAAGCCAGAAAATGTTCTTTAGTACTGAAGCCCTTGCCAAATAATTGTAAGATCCAGATGCTTTAAAATTAATGATTGCATATTCTGTTGAGTCAGCTTTTTACTTTTGCAGGTTTTTAAAATTTAATTTCTTCGGAAAAATACATGATATCTAGTACTCTCAGAAAGTGAACAGCTTTTGTAAAGTACATGCAGCAGATATTAATAACATGTGCTGACAAAGTGAGTGTAGTAAGTCTTTACTTTTTAAATAAACCTCCAAGTGTCATATAACATAAACTACTCGACACAGAGAAGCATCACAGTGTATCCATTAGGAGTCTGTTACTATTGATTCAACCTTGTGCCTCGTGGTAGTACATGCAACATGGCTAGAGCAACGTGACTGTGTAACATGAATGTTCTTTTTCTCCTCCTTCCCACTCCCTGACCTCCTCCTGAAGACTATGTACGGTATGCCCATGGGTTAATATCAGAGTATATTCCTGAAGATCTGAGTAAGGAGCTGTTAAAATACTTGGGGTGAGTATTGTTCCAGCTAGCTTATAGCATGGATTAATGTCCATTTGGTCATTTCTGTTGAATACTGAGATTTATTCATAAATGTTGCAGTGAATGACACAATGAGATTATATTTGCTACACTTTAAACGTGATTTTCAAATGTAGATTATGAGGTTTTTTTGGCTTTCCTATGGTGTTAAGGACTGGGAGCTGGGGGAGATGTAATATAAAAGATATGTCTGTTACCACCATTGCATGATGAAACTGTGAGTAATGTATCCTATTTTAAAGCAAGTGGGAAGAAAACCCAAAAAAGCAGTTTGTCCAGAATTGTCAAGCACAAACAGCAGAGCCAGGAACTGAGTCTTCATCCCCAGTCCTCTTTCTTTGTTCCTGCTCACTTAGTGCTGCTTGGGTTTTACTTATCTCACCTGTGTTAGTTTGTATTTAAATCTGGAAGGTGAGCCAACTCCTCGTCCTGGTGTTCCCTGCCAGTAGCAGACTTGGCTTGGATCATCACTGTGAATCTGCACCTACTCCTCAGTTCAGTTCTGTTCAAAGGCTCCTCTTATGGTGGCTTTTGGAAAAGTGTGCAATTTGCAGCTTGAAGCCCCATAGCTGAGCAGTTTCCTAGGTCAGAAATACAGTCCATGAGCTGTTTTTTGGGTTTTTTTGCAAGTGTGAGTAGCTGATAACCAAAGCAGCTTTCATGAAGGCAGATTTCCAAACTTAAGGTTGTGCCAATTCATCTGTCTTAATTTTTAATTTAAAATCTTTTGTTCTGCAGGCTCCCAGAACTTAGAAGCCCAGCACCAGAGCCACCACTGAAGGTAGGAGAACACTATGATATTGATAGAAATGTTGTGTTGTAAGTTAATTTTTCTGAGTTATTATTGAAACTGGATCAGACCAAGCACTGGGTACAATATATTAATTAAGGTGGCCTTGTGAGAAGCCAGTCTAAAACAACGCAAGAAATTTACCAGGTAACTCATACTTTAAAGAAGGAATATTTTGGTTGGTTTTCCTGTTTAAAAAAGGGGAAGGAAAAAGAGAGGTATATTTTATGGTTTTGGTCAACAGTCTTTTTCATACGTGTTTTGCTTATTTAGTTTTATTGAGGTTGGTGGGACAATATGACCTCATAGGTTTTCTTTTATATATAATTTATGAGGACCCTGAAAGGGACCTCCTGGGTCATGGATTCCCAGACAACCATGTTGGATAATCTCTCATACACTGACGAGTCTTCACTGTAAGTCTCATTAGGATTTTTATTTCCATTACTTCTCTTGGAAGAGTATTCTATAAGCTCATTCCTCTGATGCTCAGAAACCTTTCTGTAAATTCCACCTTGAATTTATTCATGGCCAATTTATTCCCCTGTCCTTTTGTGCTAACTTTATCATTGTTTTTTGAAACTGAAATGACTCCTTTCCCTCCCTAACATTAGTTCTTTCAATGTGTAAAGGGAAAACATGCATGCTTTGTGTTTTCATTTTGTGAAGCCAATTTGGTTGTGTAAGATGGGTTCTCCATTCCCTCATTGTGGAAACATTTCTTTACACTTATTCCAAGATTAATTCAATTGTTTCAAAGCAGGTGACCAGAAAAATGTGTCATTATTTGAGATAAAACCTTTACTTATACAATATGATGGCATTCTTCCCTTCTTGTCTTAACTAGAAATACTTTATCCCATTACAGACTAGAATCCCGTTTGCCTCTATTGATGTGTGATCAGATAGCTCTCTGTCATGCTGTGAATAGTTAAGACACACAGTTGGGGTTTTTTTTCCACTGCAGTTTTTACTTGATCAGTTCTCAGATTTATAAGAAATTCATGCAGTTAGTTTCTGTGTACATGACCTTTTACTTCTGTACATTTAAAGTGTTTAATGTTTCCAGTCTTGAAGGGTCCCTGACTTTTTTTCAGTCTTAAAAGCTCTTTATGTGTTCGTAATGCTACTCAGTAGTGTGCATTCAGCAAATGTTAGCATCTTATTACTATCTTTAATTAGTAATTAACTAGTAGTCTCCATCTGATCCAATGACATCCCTTTCTGCATTATTTGCCTTTGTTTCCCTTTTTGCTAGTTTCCCACCTACCTTAAACTTTTTATGCGGTTTTGTTTTCTGTAATTTCAGTTGCTTAAGTGGCACCATGTCAAGTCCTCTGGCAATCCTTCACATTCTGTCACCAGAAAATGTGTTATATTTGAGAAAATAAAGACAAGTTAGTAAGCATTACCTTGTTTAGTTTTTAGGCTGAGACAGGCTGAGAGAGCTGGGGCTGATCAGCCTGGAGAAGAGAAGGCTCCAGGGAGACCTTATAGGACCTTCCAGTACCTTAAGGGGGCTACAGGAGAGCTGGCAAGAAACTTTTCAAGGGCATGTAGTGACAGGAAAAGGGGCAATGGCCTCAAGCTGAGAGAGAGAGTAGGTTTAAATTAGATGTGAAGGTGGTGAGGCACTAGTACAGGTTGCCCAGAGATGTTGTGAGCTCCCTTCTCTGTCAGTGTTCAAGGCCAGGTTGGATGGGGCTCTCAGCCACCTGGTCTAGTGGAACATGTCACTGCCCATGGCAGGAGGGTTGGAGCTAGATGATCTTTGTAAGTCCCTTCAAATCCAAACCACTCTATGATTCTATATTTCATTTACTCTAATTATTCTTCCTTCTTTCATTCCTTTCCCCACTCTCTTCTCCTGAGTCCTACTATCACTTTTTCTTCCTTCTTACATTAGAGATGGGTCCTTGGCTATTCTGCACTGAAGTGGTCCCTGCCTGATAGAACATATGCCAGGTTCTGACTCTCATCTTGTAATTTCTGATGCAGTCTTCCAGCTGGATCAGCATATTGAGTTTTACTTCTATCTTGAATAGAATGATTTCTGTTCTCTCTTCTGTCCCTCTTCATCTTTATTGAAAATGATTTACTGAGGCAAAGGAGTTCTTCCATTTTGGGTCCACACCTAGGTTAACATTAATATCCATGCAATCCCTACAGTATAGCAGCTTCACTTTCTCTATTTTAATTCCCTTTTTGTCTCTGTGGCTAAACAACCTTGTACTGTTTAATTTCCTTTCCAAGGTCTAACTCAGCTTGACTTTTTGGCAGTTCTCACTTAGTCCCAGTATTACCTGACCCCCTAAACCTTTTTTTTTTTTTAATAGTTGTTTACCCCAGTCTTTTTTTTTCCCAATCCATTGCAGAATTCTGCTTACACCTAGTGTCAATTGGATATTTTGGGAGATGAAATTTTTTGGGTGGTGGAATATGTGTGCATCTGTGTGAGCAAGGAGCCACATTTACAGTGTTTAGTCTGAGAAGCTCTTTCCTCCAAGATTTTCACCTTGTTTGAAATAAAAGATCTAAAATCACTTCTTCCGTCTTTTCTTTTACCTTCCAAGTGTCTTCCTCACACATCAAGTCCCTTTGCTTTGCCTTAGACAAGTAAGGCATATGGTTTGCAAAGTTTGCCCCCTTAAAAACAATAATCCCATTTTTATTTATCCTTTCCATTTAATTTAATTTGGGCAGCCTATGTCTACTGAAACGAGATTATGTACCACACTGGCCTTTCCTGCAATGTCCCTGCTACTTACTGAAACAAAGTCTGAAATAACCTCATTTCTGGCTGGTTCAGTGACTGTTCTGTTTAGCAGCATGTCAGCTAGCACATAGAGGAATAATTGAGCCCTACTGTTATTAATAGCATTTGTTCTCCAGTGGATATCCATAGATATGTTATTTCCATGTGGCTGGACAGTTGTTCTGGCTGTACAGTTACTTGGCCCTTTGATTCAGTTAAGAATTATCTTTATGCGTTGTAAGAAATATTAAGCTCACATCAGGAGCCAACTGATAGTCATTAGCTATATAAGCATGTTAAAACAACTGTATTAAACTGCATGTGATGTACATTCCATATTGTGTACGAATAGCTTTTATACCGCTGGGATAGTTCTGAGAATCTATTTTTAAAAACAGTTTTATTTCAGCAGTTTGATTGCAGAGGAAATGAGGCTTAGAACTGTTCAGTTGTTGGGCAGTGAGATCTTGCTGAGGATCTGATTAATTTCCAGAGCACTGACCAGAGTGTGTATGATGTTTCTGTGTTTAAATCTTTGCAACTTCAGAGATTAAAACTTTATTTCACAATCTCAGAGGAGCGAGGTAGTCTTATACGTGGAAACTTCTAGTCTCCTTCAGGCGATTTTTAATCACTTGTATTGACATTTCTCTTCATGAGAACAAGGTGTATTAACAGACATAATATATTATTATAGCAAAATTAAAAAGTTCTAACTTGCATTTCCTGTATTGGAAAAATAATTACGTGCTTGGACGTTATGTTAAACTGAAGGGAGGAGAGATGTAGAAACTTCAGTGATCAGCTGAAAAGCAACGACGCATTCTCTTTCTTGAACAAGAACAAACTGGGTAAAGCCTGGACTTTGTGATTTAATGATTAAATCAAAATTGCATGTTCTTTGTATTAATTATAAGCCGTTGATCTTGTGTTGTAATCATCGCACTGTCCGGTTTGTCAGCACAGGGAGCCTGGCCATTGGCAGATGATGAGAGACATTTACAAAGAATATGTAGGCTTTGCTACAACTAAACAGCAAATGTTTTGCTTAAATGCAAACATTTTTGTTGTAAGTTTTAAGAACTTGTTTATCAGATTCCAAAAAGAGGAGAAAAGTAATTCTTCATTAGATTGTCATTTGAAAATGTAATCACAGCTCAGTAAACAGCCTCCTAAAGAAGCTGATCCAGATTCCATTGAAATAAAAAAAAAAAAAGGCTGCAGTTGGATCTGGTTCTGAGAGCTGAGAAATCTAGGCTGCAGACCTGGCTTCTGTGCCAAAGAGAGAGAGGGAGGGGGGGGGAGAGAGAGATATCACAAGCACCATAAACAAAACGAATAAAACAGGATCTTAAAATGTGTGGTACCATCCAAGTTGCTTGCAAAATCACTCTCTTTGGCACAAAAGCTGGGAAGGCCACGGTCTAGATTTCACAGGATATTAAGGACAGGGTAGTAATATCAGATATATAATAATAATAAAAATACAGTGCTGTAAAATACTACATACTTCTTTTTTTCCCTTTTGGAAACATACCAGAAAGTTTTCACCTTTAAACTAAACACATGCTCACAGTTTATGGAAAGAAATATTCATTTTTACAGCCTGATCATGTGAAGTGCCGAGAATCGTTCACGTGCATTATTTCTGAAGTTAGAAGGCACACAGCACATGCAGAGTCAAACTTCTTAATATACTGTTGGATTCAAGTGATGAAGCAGTCAGTGGAGCTATGGCAGTGTTTCACTGTTGCCAGCCTGTAGAAACTAAATAATTTTAAAGGCTGTGAACAGACAACAGACTAGATGATGATCCACTGGTGTTGTCCGATAGCTACAACACTGGAGTTGCTGCACAGGTCTGTGAGACCACAGTCCCTTGACTGTCAGGCACTAACTTCCAACAGCTGCTCCAGAATGTTCTCTAAATAGACTGACACCCAAGTCACAATCATGGCTGCTTTCTAACAGTCATTCTTCGGAAGGCTAGGAAGAAAATGCTTCCCCTGACACTGAATGCTCTCTTCTGAATGCTGTAAAGACGGTTTATATTCACATGTAGAGAAGATGATTGCAGACAGAAATCTTCCACTCTTGCTGCAGATTCTTCAGTTGATTGCCAGTCCTGTTTTGGTGCTATGGTTACGTTTTAAAGCCAGAGCTTTGAACTTCCATGTGTGTACATCATAAAAGTGGTTGACAGAGCAACTTCCTCACTCTAACATTTCAGAAAAAG